ATAAGGACACTTGCTCAACTATGTGTAGCTAGAGTTTTCTTGCCTTGCCCACAGTCAGAACAAATCTTTGTCACCTGCCAGTCCCACAGCCGCTCAGACCCAACCAAGTAAACACAGAGACTTATATTGCTTACAAACTGTATGGCCATGGCAGGCTTCTTGCTAACTGTTCTTATAGCTTAAATTAATCCATTTCTATAAATCTATACCTTGCCATGTGGCTCGTGCCTTACTGGCATCTTCACGTGCTGCTTGTCCTGGCAGCAGCTGGCAGTGACTCCTTCTGCCTTCCTGTTCTTTCTTTTCTCCTCTGTTAGTCCTGCCTGTACTTCCTGCCTGGCCACTGGCCAATCAGTGTTTTATTTATAGACCAATCAGAGTAAATTGACATACAGACCATCCCAGCCAGCGCCTGGAAATAACCTAGACATCTCTCAACTAAAGAATGGATAAAGAAAATGTGGTTCATTTACACAATGGAGTATTACAGAATGGTAAAAAAAAAAAAAAAAAAAGACATCATGAAATTTGTAGGCAAATAGATGGAACTAGCAAAAATCATCCTAAGTCAGCTAATCCAGACCCAGAAAGACAAACAGAATAGCCTTTTTTCCATCCTTTTACCCTCAGGTGATATCTAACCTTGATTTTAAGATATGTTTCTTGGATACAACAGAAGGATGGATCCTATTTTTTTAATTTAATTTTTTAATTTAAGAACTTTTTTATTCATTTTACATGCTAACCACAGATTCCCCCTCCCATCCTTCTTCCTGAAAATCCCTAGCCTTCCCCTCCTGACCCTCATCCCATCCCCATGGGAAGCCTTACCTTTTGGACCCTGTTTTTGAATCTACCCTTAGTCCATATCTTTTTTGGTGGTGGGGGTTGGGGGGATTGGGACACTTGATGCTAAGAGTTAATGATGAGCAGTATTTTGATTTGGTGTTTAGTTTTTGGTTCCTGTTATTCTGTTGTGGTGGTGTTCTCAACCCCTCTTTTTGTTTTGCTGGTTTGAGATTAATTATTCATTGTGCTTTCTTAGGTGTGGTTTAACTCTTCAGGTTAAAATTTTCCTTCTCATGCCTTCTGTAGGGCTGGATTTGTGGACAGATACTGCTTAAATTTGTTTTTATTGTGGGATGTGTTTCTTCTCCTCCATCTATTGTGATTGAAAGTTGTGCTGGGTATAGAAGTCTGGGCTGGCATCTGTGGTATCTTAGAGTTTACAGAATGTCTGTTCAGACATTCTGGCTTTTAATGCCTTCATTGAAAATTCAAGTTTATTCTAATAGCTCTGCCCTTATTTGTAATTGGTCTTTTCCTTTTGCAATATTCTTTATTCTGTACATTTAGGGTTTTGACTATTTCTCTTCTGTTTCAGTATATTTGGTGTTCTGTATGCTCCTTGTACCTTAATTGGTACTTCCTTTAGGTTAGGGAAATTTTCTTCCATGATTTTTTTTGCAAAAGTTTTCTGTGCCTTTGACCAGGATTTCCTCTCTCTCCTCTATGTCTATCATTCTTAGATTTGGTCTTTTTATAGTGTCCTGGATTTCCTGGATTTTTTTTTTTTACATTTAACATTTTCTCTGACTGACATATCTATTTCTTCTTTCTTGTCTTCAATGCCTGAGATTCTTTCTTCCAAATCTTGTATTCTTTTCATGAGGATTATCTCTGTGGTTCTTCTTTGAGATCCTAAGTTTTTCACATCCAGTTTTACCTCAGTTTTGAGTTTTATTTAGTGACTCCATTTTCACTTTTATGTTTTGAATAGTTTTCTTTATTTCATTTCACTGTTGGTTTGTGTTTTCATAGATTTAATTAATGGATTTATTAATATCATCTTTAAGGTGATTTGACAGATTTGTAATAGCTATTTTGGAGTCCTTGTCTTTTGCTTAAGGTATATCACATTTCTCAGGGCCTATTGTAGTAGGTTTTCTGGCTCTGGTAAAAAAATTGTCATGGGTGCTAATAATTGTGTTTTTGTTCTGGTGTCTAGGTACTTAGTTTGGGAATGATTGTGAATCTAGATGATAACTGATCTTGTATTTGTTCATTGGATTTTTTTTATTTCTTGGTTTCTGTTTCCCAGTCTAGATCTTAAGAGCATGTGGTGGCTGTGAGTTTCCTGGTAGGACATATTTCTCAGTACATGCCAAGTGTTGCCACTGGAGTTCCTGGGTAAATGTGTTTCTAAATATTAGGGACAGACAGGAAGAATAAAGATGGGCTTATAAGGCAGGGGGTGAGAGGGTCCAAAGGAAGAAGGAAAGCTGGGTATGTCAGGAGGATCTGTGGAGTCCCCAGGGAATGGAGGAAGAGAGGAAAGACAAGCCCCTGTAGGTGGTCTGCTACAGGGATAGGGATGAGACTGGGTAATGGGAATTGAAGGATGGGAAGGAGAGTGAAGACTACCTACCTGTTCCCAGGGAGAACCACATTGTCATCAAAATGTAGCATTTACTTTAAAATCTGTAGTACTCTATGGAAATGTTTTATATTATTTATTATACACATAATACAGTACTAAATTTTCAACTTGTAAAATACAGTACTGGAAATAAAGAGATCTATGGTGAATATGGTTCATCTGAGGATGATGTGGAAGAAGGCAATCAGAGATTATTTTTGATACTCCCAAGCTGCATATAATGGAGAGTCTGATGGGGTGACTTTGAGTGTCCAGCTGTGCATTGGCACAGTTTATACATTCCATTCATCTGAAAAATATCCAGTTGCTTTGCAATCTGGTTTTTGGCTCCTGTCACCATCTTTTATTCCAGCTGTGCTATTGATTTCATTTCCTTGGTATTTTTACTTTTCTGTTTAGTTTATCTGTATTTAGAGCTGTGCTTTTAATGGCTTTTGGTGTTAATTTTAATTTTAATGCTAAAAAAACACTGATTTGGCTAATTGATAAAACACTCTTATATTTGAAAAAAATCCTGATGGACTGCACAATGAAAATCTTCAGTTTAGGTCACTGACTTCTTTCAAGATTCCTATGCATTCTCCTTTTTTATTATATGCATTTTATGTGAACTCATTTGTAAATAAACCAGTTACATCTTGGATCAAATATGAAGATGGATGAAGTGTGTATGAGACATGGAATTGAAATTTATCCCTGAACATTATATATAATTATCTAAAGGAGAAGGTGATACATTTTTCAGTTTGTATAAAAACTATACAGTATATTCTAAAGGAAGGAATGGTCAGAGGTCACATGCTGATCAATATTAAGAGAAAATGAGTTAATTCTACACTAAACTATTAGTTTTCTTTAGTGGCATTGGGTTTTTATAAAATTATAGATCCTCAATCATTCCCATCCCACTTTCCTAAGGTTTAGTGGCATTAGTAGCATTCATTATATACAGTGGTCCCATGACAACAGAAACTTGCCTACTGATGTATAATAAATCTTAATGAATCAACTATATTACAGTTAGTTCTGTCGTTTGTATTAAAGGAATTGATCTTTTTAACTAGTAAGTTGGACATTTTATTTCAATTATTTATCCAGTTGAAATAATTGCATGTATATAAAAATAATTGTTCATAATTAGGGAAACAGATGAACTGGAATATCAGAATTTCCCAACATTTGTTGTAAGGAAATAAATTTGTTAAATTTATTTTGTTCAATAAATAAATTCAGAGAGCAGACTGAATATTGTTATAGGAAGTTAAATATCTAAATTTATGTGGTGGAATTCCAAGTTAGAACTGCAGTTTGCAAGATGAAGGAAACAAAGAATTGGAAACTTTACCAAATGTTTGGCCTTGATCGTACTTCTTGAGAACTACAAACTAAAATACTACATTTACAGACATTTAATAATTTAAGGCTGAGAGTGGTCCTGAAAAAAGTTTATTAAGCACAAATTTAATATGTATTATCTCAAATGGGAGAATCAAATACATACACAGTTGAGGCAGAAAGCATGGATCCCATAGTACAGATAAAAGGACAATTCTAGAAGATAAGAAATGATAATTATGCTTTAATTGTTCAGGGAACAGTGATTAGTGGGTTCTGCAGATACTTTTGGATTAGAAACTTTATTCAATAAGGACCTTGAGAAAGTTAATACTATTAATTAACTCTGTAACACATTATAGTACTTATTGTGTATTAGGCTTACGCTAACCAGAAAACATTGACTATATGTATAGAGTCAATGCTCACAACTAATAATATGTTTGCTCATATTGCAAACCTCGGTACAAAGAATAAAATAATTGTGACACAGCAAGCACACATAGCTAGTAACAACTAGCCATGTGCTCCAGCTACAACATTAGTAGCTTATTTTAAGTTGGTTCTTAGCTAAACTAGTTGACTCACAGTCCTGATAAAGAAAGATGTTTATATTACAAGTAATGTTTAACTATTAAAGTCTTCTTCCTCTTTCATGTTCTGAAAGTAAAATGAAGAAATAATCTAGGGATAACATTTTAGGGTTTTGCTCAAGCACCCAAGCTAAGCTAATGAAATTGCTTTCTGGGTTTAAACTAAGAAATGCATTAAAAAAGAATAGTCCAGTGATGGAGTACTAGTTGAAGCTCAACTATTGTGTTACAGAAAATAATCTGAACAAGCCGTAATGGCCCTAGGCAGAGAATAAAGATGGGGTAAAAATTGTTGTTGTCAAAGGAAAAGTTTAGAGAGCAAAGAAGACCGGGGTGAGACAGATACTCATAAAAGAGAACTAGGGAGGAGGGCTCATTGTATTCTAGATAATATATATTCTCATGGCACAGGAGAGAAGTTGAAACAATGTCTGCTTCTATTTGGCTATCATCCCATCAGTGATTAAATCATCAGGAGTCACTGAGACTTTTCAAATAGAAGGATGAGCTGATAGACTATAAAGCATAAGACAGATAACAGAGGATGTCTATCATAATGCAAGAGAACTAAGAATTCAGAATTTATTACAGAATTATGACAGCATGGCTATGAACAAGGTTAAGGTGATATCATTAAATATGAATCAGAAAATGATCTCTCCCCAAACATGGCTGCTTACCTTGTCAATCTATTCATTCACTTGCCTGTTTTTTCCCGGTATTACTTTATCAATGTAAGTTTACTATTATTCTGTCAACTACTATTGTCAACATAAGTTTACTATTATTACTATTATACTATTTACTATTTAGGAACAGCTAAGTGGATACTTGAGTCCTTACCCTCAATTATTATACTATGTATAGGTTATTAACAGTATAATGTTCATAGAAATAGCAATATACCTTAATTAAGAAAATTTGACTAATCTTTTAAAGCTGGTGAAAAAGCACGTCTAGAATTTTGAGATGTTTGACTATGAGTATGGTGTTTGTGAAATGACAAAGGAAATAGAACATTCCATCTGGAGATGCCTTTTACAGTCCATGTGAAACTTGTTAGAGAATTTAAATGACCTGGAACACCGATAACGTCTTGTTTAAAATGTTTTTAAAATCTATAAATAAGCAGTATTTATCATAGACCATATGATGTTTCGAGAAATTTATATACTGTGAAATAGTTCAATTTAGCTAATTAACATATATAACCTCATATACTTAATCATCCTAATGAAAGTATTGACTATATAACCTCTTATAACATTTGAAAATACATTTCATTGCATCCTTAACTTTTCTCCTACTGCCTTATGAGATACCCAATGGAAGTGCTCACAAGCATGTGGACACTTACTCAATAAAATTTATTATTTAACAAAGAAAGTAAACACCACAGTATGGACCTAAAATAGTTAGACAGGGTCACATGAAGGTACTTCTCTAGACTTACTAAAGTCAAGTTACATTCATAGTTACTTCATAACTATTTTGGCATCAGATCTATGATTTTGTTTTCTGCTGGGGAAAAAACTTATTGACAGAGGACGTGGAAATGAACATGACTTCACCAAGAAGCCAGGTAATTTGGTCCAACATGAAGAGATTTTCCTTCCTTAACTGAACTTCTCAGTTCAGTAACTCCTAGGTAAGACCAAAGAGAAGTATGGTATGACAATTTCTAGCTCATAGATACACAAAAAGCTGTCCTTAAGTAGCCAGGAAACAAAGAAACTGAAATTCTGGTTGTTTATTTTCATAGCAGTACTGGGGATTGAATACAGAACATTGAATATGTTAGGTGCTATGACCTTGACGTGCAGGACTTAGAATCATCAGGGAAGTGAATCTTGGCACATCTATGAGGAGATATTTACATCCTACATTGGGTTAATTGAAGGGGCAAGATTTGTGTGGGCACTACCATTTCATGGGTCGGGGGGAGGGGCTGAGTAAAAAGAGAAGGTAAGATGAGCATAGGCATCCATCATGCTCTTCCTGAGTGTGCATTCAATGTTACTAGCTGCCCCAAGTTCCTGCCCACATGCCTCCCCAGCTAGGATGCTCCACACCCTTGAACTGTGAGCCAAATTAACCCCTTCTCTCCTTAAGGTGTCATTGTCAGGTGTTTTGTCACAGCAACAAGACAAGTAAGCAACTAATAAACAAGACAAGCTTTCTATCACTGATCCACAGCCCCACCTAAGAGCCTGGTTCTTGTCACAGCCCAAAGTAATTTTCAATCTCTTTTACCTTAATCACCCCTCAAGCTGCTTGACCTTTGCAACATCAGAGTGATTTATAGTTAAAGGAATGATTTTTCTTTCTTAATTTCCTTTTCCCCCTTTTTAGATTCCATTATTTAATCATTGTTCTTTAATTTTTTTTCTTTTATTTCTCGAGATTATAATAGCATCATTTACCCCTTTTCCTCCCTTCCTTCAAACTCTTCCCTCTATCAACTTCATGGCCTCTTTTATTTTTTCCATTCATTGTTGTTACATATATACATGTTTATATATAAAGCACATTTATTTCTAAATATATAAATACAACCTGCTTAGACTCTACACATAATATTACTCGCATGTATGTTTTCAGGGCTGATCATTTGATATTGGGCAAACAATTGGTGTGCTCTTCCTTAGGAAGGAATATTTCTTGCACTTTTAGGGGCATACTTTAGTTGCCTATGGTTCTTTGTGTTAGGGTGACATCTCCCCACTCCAAACCACACCCCTCATCCTGTTCATCTTAGAAAAAAACATTCAAAAACTGGGTCTTGAAAAGAGAATTCTCAAAAGAAAGTTGCCATGAAGTTCTTAATAAATGTTCATCTTCCCTAGCAATTAAGGAAATATAATTCAAAGCAACTTTGACATTTTTGTCTTACCTCCATCAGAATATTTAAATGAACCAAACAACAGACAATAAATGTTGAAGGACATATATGGAAAAGGGAGCTCTCATTAGCTGTTGGTGGCATTGCAAACTGGTGCAGCTACTCTGGAAATCAGTGAGGAGAATTCTCAAAAAGCTAAAAGTAGTTTTTTTTTTTAATTTTTTAAAAACCAAGTCTAATAATGTACTTAAGAAAGCCCTTGACTCATGATCCTCCTTATTTAGTCTCCCAGTGATCAAAACTGAAGGCATATTCTATTACTCTCACCCAAATAACTTCTAAATGGCTTAGAAAATATTAAAGTCTCTTTGAAATATTCTTGGGTATTAATATAAAATACTAAAAATTCTGAGTAAATAAATGTATTATTTTTCAAAACCTACTTGACAGTGAACCTTATTTATATGTAGCCTATTAACATAATATGTAAAACACACAGCTGAAAAGAGGTCCCCCATTGTGTCTATTGCTAAAGCAGTCTGTAAATCCACAGCAGGAGAGTGATTGCTTCATTCTGCAGGTGGAAACTGTGAAAGCTTGGGTTATTCATTATATTTGAATGTAAGTTACTACTTGTAAATCTAGGAAGTATCATTGTTTAATTCCTTTGATAATTCTCATCTTTTCAACTACTAAGGAATAGAACCTGTTCTACCCAAATGTATTCAAAATCCATGCACTAAATTTGATCTTACAATGTTGTTTTCTTGTTTCAAGTTCTTAAAATTTCACTTTGCTCTCAGAGTAAAATCCAGATTATTTTTCCTCAGATATTACTTATTCCTACTCTCTGAAAACCTGACACAGTGAACACTCCAGAGAAGGCATCCAGGATGTGGATTAAGGCTTTGATGGTCAGCCATTACTGAGAATGACTCAGTCCTTCAGCTTTCACTCTCTAAGCAATGGATTCTGGGGGTAGTTGTCATTCCCTGCTGGCAGAGATGGCATTTTGATCATGGAAAGCACCACGGCTCCCCTTGGTCACTGGTCTCTGCCTCTTATTTCAATTTTGCACTTTCGGCATTCCCAGAGCACTTCTGGGCCTTCCTGCTGCTTGGTGTCTCTTATTACAGTGGCCATTGTCGCCTGGCATGTATTATGAATACAATCAAAATCAGTCTGAAAATTTTAATTCTCATTGATTTTCATAATTGTGAGATAAATTTAGACTTTGTAAAGTGAAAATGTTGACCCAATGCACATTTCTAAATTCAGAGCTAAGAATCAGACACTACTAACTTATCACCTTTTACCTGCATGCCACCATTATTCCATGCCAAGTGACAAGCTCTTGTGATGATGGTCTTAGCTCTGAAGTATTATCTGCAAAGTTCCATTTCCACACAACCCCCTACTAATATATGCATTCTCCAGTATCTCTTTGTGTACACTTATTTGCATATACTCTCTAAATCCAAAAGGATTAAAGGCAGCTTTATTTTGAAGTATAGGTCATAGCTACTGTTTTGACAAAACATGTAGAATCTTCTATTTGGAGATAGTTTGTAGTAAAGAGAATCCAATTTGTAAATAATATGGAGAATGGTATTAGTAAGAGTTGGTAAAAATATATTGGATTGTGGTTGCCATGTAAGTCATGGTGTTAATTTAGGTTTCCCCAAGACTATATTGCCTAGTCCAAAATTACATGTAAGTGGGTAATTTGAGAAACAAAATCAAACAGGTTTTCATAGGTGGCAGGTTTCATTAAGAAAGCAGCCTGGAAGCTGGACATCAGGACAAAGGTCTGTAACTCCAGACATTTGGAGGCAGAAATAGGAGAATCATGAATTTAAAGCTGACCAGAATTACATACTAAGATGGTCTCACAGCTAGTCAATCAACCACCTAATCAAGAAGCAAGAGAGAAAATTCTAGAACTGAATAATGAGCAGCAGCTTCTATTAGAGCTTTGTCCCTCCATAAGTTTGGCTGACAAGGAACACTTTACTTGTCTCTGACTGTAAGAGGTGGAAAAATGATTTGCTTTCATGATTTCTAGATTCTTCAAATTAGAAACAAACTGTTTTAATTTCAGAATCATTATTGTCTATAAACATTTTGAAAAAATGAAAATGCCAAAAGTGCAAATTTTTTTTTTTTTTTTTTTTTTTGGTTTTTCGAGACAGGGTTCCTCTGTGTAGCTTTGCGCCTTTCCTGGAACTCACTTGGTAGCCCAGGCTGGCCTCGAACTCACAGAGATCCGCCTGCCTCTGCCTCCCGAGTGCTGGGATTAAAGGCGTGCACCACCACCGCCCAGCGCCAAAAGTGCAAATTAATATGTGTTTCCATGGACAAAAGAGCACATGTGTTTTCTACCCATGTCTTCAACTGGGATATTCAATACATTTTACATGTTTATTTTAATTTCAGAAGTACTAACATGATGAAATTATTTGACTTTTGTGACTTCTAATACATATATATATATATATATATATATATATATATATATATGTAGTTTCCTTTTAAAGTTTGCCTTTTGAATTTTTAATGGTCTAAAACTTTCAGTTTTGCTTTAAGGCTTCATCCATATTTATTATCCAAACCTCACTTTCCTGTATCTTCAGAATGCTCTGGCATTCACCATGTTGTTTAGAGATATGTACTCATGACATCCATTTGACTAACAATCTTTATTACTTATTCCCACAGTTTAGTGAACAGGAAAGGATAGTGATAAGGCATTTCAGATTGGAATTTCAGACCCATTAATGATGTCTTCAAGGTTGATAATACCTCTTTAGCCATAAAACTTTGTGGCATCTTATAATGATTATTTTAAATTTTATCAACTGTGAAGATGAGATTTTTATTGATTGAGACAGATATAAAGTCTATTTATGCCAAGCATCTTAGAAATATGTCCTGAACATTTTTTATAAAATAAGAGCTGGGCAGTGGTGGCACATGTCCTTAATCCCTTAATCTTGGGAGGCAGAGGCAAGCGGATCTCTGTAAATTCGAGGCCAGCCTGAGCTACAGAATGAGTTCCAGGAAAGATGCAAAGCTACACAGAGAAACCCTGCCTCAAAACAAACAAACAAACAAACAAACAATAAATAAATAAATAAAATAAGCATGGCTATTACTTGAAAAGTAAATGATAAATAGTTGTGCTATGTGTATTTTTACTATTAGATTTAAGTTTGTTTTAAAAAAAATGAGATTCATCTTTGATAGTTCTCAATAATATTCCTGATTGTAAGATAGTCTTGAAAATTGTAATCTAAATTTGAATAGAGTCCAAGAGATCATTAATAGCTATCTTTTATAGAAAGCTTATGGGATCAACATAATTATCTACCATTTTCTGGTAAGCCCATTAGTAATTTTCCCATCTATCTATCAAAGTAGTATTGTTTTTCTAATGATAGTAACAGCAGAGACTGTTCAATATTATGTCTTTAGGTTTATTATACACAATATGTCTTATTACCTGAAATTTTTTTCATATAATTCATACAATAATGAAAATGGGGAAAATGATGACAGAAAAAACAACATATGACTTAAAAGATTAGATATAAGTACAGAAAATCAGAAATAGGAGTTATAAAATATGATAAATTATTTAAGTGTACCAAAGACATTTAAATCATTTGTGTAGCTTCAAAAAGAGAGACAGGAAGATGATGGGGGTGGAGGATGCCAGCAAGATGCCTAAGGAGCAACACATATGGTGATACATAGATCAATAGTTATGGGCTAATTTAAGATATGAGAGCTAGCTAGCAAAATGCTTGAGCCATGGCCATGCAGTTATAATTAATACAAGGCTCTGTGTGTTTACTTGGGGGATGCAAGTGGAAGAGATTTGTCCTGATCACTGGCAGGCCAGGACACAGGAAATCTTCTGACTACAAATGTGGTGATATTTTATTTGTGCTTTAATAAAGTTTTCCTGGAGATCAGAGGAAGTAGCAAGCCACTATAGTAAACAAAGAAGTCAGGCAGTGGTAGCATACACCCTTAATCCTATCACTTAGCAGGCAGGCTCTCTGTGTGTTCAAGGCTACACTAGGGAACAGAGCCAAGCGTGGTAACACATGTCTTTAATCCCAGTACCAATGATAGAGACCTGGAGGTCTCTACAGACAGACAGAAAATGACAGAGCTGTGTAGGAAGAGGAAGTGAGGTAGCTGGGCTAAGATAGCCAATGAGAGGGCAGAACAGCAAGGCAATAAAGACATGGGTAGACAGGAAGTAACTCATATTTGGAAGCTACAGAGTTGGTGAGGTAAGATCGGCTGGTGGCTTTCCCTATTTCTCTGATCTCTCCAAGGCTTTAACCCAAATTTCTGGCTGTGTTTTTTATTTAATAAGACCATTTAGAAATTCATCTACAAATAGTGACCAGGATGTTCTTGATTTGATGGTTATTCTCTGATGCAAATACATAAGATATAAGCCCAACAAAAATATATACCAAGCCCAAGGTACCTGTGAATGAGGAATAAAGTAAGAAATGCAAAAGAACCAGTAAGACTGAAGCCATAGAACTGAAGGTTCTGGATTTAAAAGCTAGTAGAAGCATCTATGACTTTGGTCCCTTGGAGAGATTGAATTTTAAGTCTATCAAGGCATGAGGATTGTGGTGATCAGTGCTTACAGCTTAGGCATGGGCAGTTGAAGCATTTTACTTATAAAAATAAATTGCAAAAACATTCTTGTCATTCCTGCCTGGAGAGCTTCACCTGGAGAGACAGGTTTGGGTTGGAGAGTAAAAGGGAATCTTTAACTTGTATTCCATAAATCATGCAATGACCACTAACACACTAAATATGCAATATTGTCAACACCATCATTGGAGCCAAAAGCCTCACAACATAATGTTCAGGAATAGTTGTGAACTGAAACTCTCAGAAATAAAGACAATTGAACCACTACCATTTACACACACACACACACACACACACACACACACACACACACACA